ACATTGCTTTTCTACAGAGTTTTAAACAATAGATGCATGTGACAATGGCTCCATCTGTGTTCTCCGCTGCTGTGTAATTTCTTATTTTGTCGTAGCCATACAGTGTCTGAAGCCATTTTGCTGTTTGTTTCTAAAACACCCACAAATTAATCTCTATAAAATTAATTCTGATTGGGCATATCTACATGAGCTGTGGCTCATTGCTACCATGGAGTAGTGTTGCCAGGCACTAACCACATGGTGATAGTACTGCACAATAGCAATGAGCTGCTCCGGAGTAGTTCATTGCTGTTGTGCAGTAGCCTCAGGAAAAAAAACATGTGGTTATGATACTGTACAGTAACTCCAGTTAATGCACAAGACTGTGGAGTAACAACTGTGCAGTTTGCCTCATTTGTAGATGTAGCCAGTATGTAACAAAGGTATTGCCTGCTTCCTCAATATGATTACAACATGAGAATTATCTCAATCTTAGAATCTATGCTGAACTTCCCATGTACTAGAGAATGGAGAAAAATGGAGTATTAGGGCAGTTCGTCTCTCTGATTGTCCTGAACACCAGGCCTATATTTACTAATAATTTCCAGTAGTATCTGGTTCAGATCTATTTGACTGCAAATTCTTCTTCTTTTGGTTGGTAAGAAACACCTGGATATCACAAATAGTTAAGAGTTCCAAACCTTTATTTCCTATTCCTTGGTATTTGCAATATAATGTAATTAAAGACTATGAATTCTTCAGAGAAATTATGATCCTCCTTGAGTGTTTGGTAAATAGTCAGCACACAACAGGTACTGCTATTAGCAAATGCATAGGAATGTAATTGTATCCAGTTTTAACATTTTAATTGAATACACTTAATAGAATAATTTTACAAAAGTGTGTCAATCATTTAGAATTTATGGGAACTTTTTTTAGATCCAAAGAGTACTGCATACATAGATCCATAGTTACTTTGGTTTGAGCATGTGGTTTGGGTCTAAATAGACCAAGAAGGAGCTCAACTGGTTACATAGCCAGTGAACAATAAATGGTTTAAATGAAACTCACATGTTCCAACTGCTATAAGTATGACCAAGGAAGTACATATACCTGTGAAATTGCATATTGGAAACATATATTGTATAATTCTGTTTTTTTTTAATTTCTTGCTTTATATTTTTTATATTTTAAGAATGTGGTAGATCCATGAATACCTACTTTATTTCTTTTTAGAGATACCTACCTCCTTGTTTGAAAAGAAAAAAAAAGGAACAGATTTTTTAAGAGGAATCTGGATTTTCTTTTTATAGAGCAGTAAGTGTGCTAGAATGAACTGCAATTGTGTATGTTGTAAAATTGCTTTTGTTTGACAGGTTAATAAATCTCAATCAAAAGTCCTAATGACTAGAGATATTAAAAGTTTGCAGTGCTTGACAAAATGAACAACCAGAAAGCCCTTATATATAGTGTGACCATACATCCTGGATTAGCTAGGACAGTCCCGGATTTTCTAGGCCGTCCTGGTGTTCTTGCTAGTTGTTGTAAATTGAAGCAAAAGTCCCAAATTTGGCTGCTGCAGGCAGAAGCTGCTGACACCCACAGTGTCCAGCCCAACTCCTGCAGTGGCTGGAGGTGGGGGGTGAGCTGGGTCAAGCATCACTCCTCCTGCCTAGGGCAGAGATCAGCCAGGGGGGGCAGTATACACATTGTGGCCATGCCCCTCATCCTAGATTCCCTTATTCCATCCCAGATTACTTTAACTATAATGTGGTCACCCTACTTACGTATATGTGTGTGTATAAAAATAGTTCTGAACCCTTAGCTATATTTATAAGCTATACATTTATCAGCTCTGTGTGTGTGTGTGTGTGTGTGTGTGTGTGTGTGTGTGTGTGTGTACGCGTGAGAGAGAGAGAGAGAGAGAGACGGAGAGTGATCTATATACAGAGAGAGAGATCTAGCTATCTGTATCTATAGATAGATATATCTATATATCTATATCTGTATGTAGCTATATAATCTCACACACAGTTATGGGCTCAGAGCTACTTGTGATGGCTTGACAATAGATCTCATTTTATTTGCAAATGCCTTTATTTGCAGATGTACAGTTTGCAGGATGTTTTTCTTTTTTGGTGGAAAGCACAAACAGAAATCACCTTAATTGTCAAAAGGTAAAAATACTGTGATTCTTTAGACAACAAGTGTACATACATATAATCCTGACAACAGGTGCCAACTTTCTGTCAACATAAGCTCTTTCCAGGATCAATTAGCTTATGTACTGTGGAGAATTTAAATCTCCTAAGTTTTCAGACCTTGACATTGCTTGATCTTATGGATTTATTTTTCATTTTCTTGCACAGGTATGTGAAACATAACTGTTTTCCAAATAGAACAGAAAAGTAGCTGAGGATTTCTTTTGAGAAGGGGACAGTAGAACAATTTTGTGTCAATATTTAGAGCTTGGATGCTGTTGTCCTCATTGATTAGACAGAATGGTGAGTTACGTTTTGCCAAAGTAACTCCTGCAATTCTAAAACAGTTTGTTTAGAAATTGATTTCATAGGATATAAAGAAGGATAGGGAAGATTAAAAAAGAAAACCAAAAACACTTCTGATTCTTTGCTCTTTGGTATGTTGACTTAGAGTTTTTACAGTGAAAGGACTTTAAAAATACATACATAACTGAATACAAGTGCCAATAATATGCCAGACTGCACTGCTACAAAAATTCAGTTCAGGTGGAAGTAAGATGGCAAGTGTAAAGCAGCAGTATTGCACACATTTTGTAAAGATGAAAAGTGCATTATTAATTGTTTCACTGAAACTGCTACTGCAGGTAACTAGGACCCCTAGCAGACATTCAGTTAAAGGTGCCGTGGGATCTGATGCACAATCCCAACAACACTCTTCCTGTCATGCTACACATGCATGGTAGGAGGCGTGATTGTGGGATGGGGGGTGAATCCCCATCTGCCATAATGCCAGTGTAGGGGAAACCTGGGACCATGATCCCAGGCTCCTGTTACTAGCTTCCTACTTGCTGGTGTTAGCTGATCCCCACTCCCAGTCTCAGTAGCATATTGGAGTCAAGGGCTCCATTACACCCCTGGGGCTGGGACCACAAATTAGCTGACTGCCACTCCCAGGCTTGAGGGCCCTTGACTCCAATTCATCCCTGAGCCTCGAAACATTGGTCAGCTGATCAGCACTTCTGACATCATATGCTGGCAGCCTTGATCAGCCTGGTCACACGTGCAGTTTAAGGCATGATGGGAATGTGCAAAAAGTTATTAAACATATTTTATATAATACTCTTGGGGCTTATTCCTTGTTTTACCAGAGTTCCAGCTGCTTGATAAGTCAGAAACGATGATCTTGTCTCCCTGACACATTAACATGCGGCCAGGTTACTACTTAAGATGTGATTAACTGGTTAATCGTGTCTTAAGTGCAAGTCTGCCAGGGGCCTAGGAATCTCACCGGTGGAGATAGGGGGCTTTATCATGGCTTTTATTTGACATATGTAATGCATTTTGAGGCAACCAAAATTAACAATTGATAATTATAACACTAGGTAAGTATAGTATAACAGCCAAGGTGGGAATTTGATTAAGATTTTTACATTATAATATAATACCATATTTCCTTGAATATAAGATGACTGTATAATTAGATATATTTTATCTAATATATCCCCCCCCAGTAATTAGATTTTACATACGGAAATGTATACATTTGTTAAAATGTTCCAGGTATGGAATCTAATTAATAGAGGTTTTCCTTGTATTTTTCCCCTGCCACTGTTGCATCAGGAAAAATAACTCTGGTGGGGAAGGACTCAGGCAGCTCCTTTGCCCTCTGTTCTACTTAACTTCTCCTTGGAGCCCCTTGCCCCCCCCCCCGCCAGCTTTACTGCCAGACCCTGCTCTCTCTGTGTGCATGGAAGTAAGAGAAAATTTGCAAATCCTGACTTTAAAATAAATATCCCTGTAGTAATTTCCATATAGGCAAATTACTAATGGGTATCCATAGACTTAGTTCATCCAGAGTTGATGCGTGTTCCTTTTTTTGAAACTGCTGCAAATTTTAGCACAGGTACTTCGTAAACATGCTTTTAAGCAACACTTTTGTATCTACTTATATATAGTACAAACTATACATGATATTATTCCAAAGCCAAAAGGCTCATGATTTACCATATCGTTCATTGGGCTAGGCCCCAGAAGAATCAACAGCATTTTAAGCAATGGTGGCCCAATAACTTAGCACTGCTCTGTATGTTTGTGTATTCCAAATACCCTCCCACAAAGGATTCGTGTGCTAATTAGTTCCTTACTCATGACTGGAACTGGGTGTTCTTGTCAAGTCCTGGGATCCTTCAAAAATATATATGCAGATGAGGCTCAAGGCGACCTGGTCCAACTCCACCTCATGGAGAATGGGACCACACTAATCAATGCAACAGGCTGAGAGAGGACATGATAGAGGGATACTGAGTGAACTGTTTGAGCCACTGTTTGGTGATGTTTACCACATATTTAAGGTTCATAAATAAACAGGAGTCATTGGGAATGAAATGGGAAAGAAAGGTGCGGCTCAGCTGTGGGAGTGAAAACAAAGTTGAAATGTATTCATTGTAGTGGCTCACCATGACTTGAAAAAGAGTGGGCACTGAGGGAGACCGAGTATAATAGGCACTATCATATATCTTATTCATATGGGCTGCACTAACCTGTTCTTGTGGTACATTCCCTGTAGCACACATGAGTCTACAAAGCAGCAGCAGGGGCCAAGCTTAATGTGAGCAAAAGCACCTGACTGGCTGTGGGCAAGCTCAGGTATCTGGCATCTCTGGGGTCTCAGTCCTCTGCAAGGGGATCAACATCCTCGGGGTAGAGTTCAACCCAGAATTGAGCAGGAGGGTCTGGGAGAAGAAGGATGCAAAGGTGAAGTTTGAGTCTGTGGCATGTGTACCACCTCTCCATGGGAAGGGGGTGGGGAAGTGCGTGGTGCTCATGAAGGCGGTGTTGCTACCAGTACTTCTGTACATTGCACTGGTCTTCCCCCCTCCAAAGCATATCATCCACAGAATCCAGAAAGCCATGTGCATTTTTTTTCTAGGGATCCAGAATGGAGAAGGTGGTAAGAAAGAACCTATACAAAAAAATAGACCAGGAGCAAGGGAATGCCAGACATCCACCTTTTCCTGCAGGCATCGTACGCGAGCCAGATCTGCAAGCTGGCGACCAGGCCAGTGAAGAAAACAACCTGTCTTGTCAAGTATTTTGCAGGTCACCTCCTGAAACTGGGGGTGGTGTATGCACCAGCCAAAGGGAGACTGTGTACCATGGAATACCCCTGGTTCTACAGTGTGCTAATCAAGTTCTGGAGTGAGTACAGGCTACAGAAAGAAAGCTCAGCAACTATGACCAACCACAGAAAGATTCAGAAGGAAGTCAGAGAGAGACAGGCTATCGACCATGGAGCTGCTCCCCGAAGATGACTGCCAAGCCGTCTAGGACCAAATCTTCCTCAAGGACCTATGAAAGGACCACAGAGTCTTGAACTGGCTAATAGCTCACAGTGTACTCCCAGTGAGGACATGGAGATACAGAGAGGGGCAAGGGACTAACCCCAGCTGCTCCAGGGAAAGCTGCCAAGATGAAAGCAAAATCATTGACCACCTCCTATGCCAAAGGAGTATGGAAAAAGGTAAGCTGGCTCCGTGAAGAGGTGACAGGGGTCAGGCTGTTGACAAAGGAGGCAGTACTGTATGGCCATCTGACTAAACAGTAGAGGTCCCTGACAACCCGTTTCAACGAGTTTGTGTCCTGCATCAGGAGTTCCCTGTGGCAGTGCAGCAGCCTTCTGATGTACAAACACACCGAGCTCAAGGAAACCGAGTGTGTTACAATGTTTCTGAGCGAACTTCAATTCTACTACATATTTGGACCCAGACACAGTGAGGACAGCAACAGGATCAGCAGCAGCGGAAGTGACAGCAACATTGACAGCAACAAAGACAGTGAATGAACTGAGAATGTAAACCCCAAATTGGGGCTTGGACTAAGGAACTACGATTGGGTTAGGGAAGGGCAGTGGGTGGGTGCATGGGGGTGCAGGGGAGTGGGTGCATTTATTGTAACAGGTGCACAGTTTCTTAATGTGGTTTAAGGTGTGTAATGGAAAGTTTTATGCTAGATGATGTGGTTGTGTTTGGGGAGAGGTTAAAAAAAAAGGTAAGTTCCCATCAGTATGTTTACTCAATATGGGCTATGTGTTTTGCAGTCATGCTCAGTGTTTGCTACGTTTATTCAACTTCATAATTGGCTTCCATTGCTGAGCACGTGCTGCTTTTGGCAGCAGTTTAATGATAGACGGTGTATTTAATGAGGTTTCCTTTTATGCAAATGTAAGATGAACAGCCTCTCCCCCCATACTGATTGGGGGAAAAAAATCTCATATTTAAATAAATATGGTACTTCATAGTTTCATAGACTAGATACTTGTTTGAAACCATAGTATCTTTACTGGCATACTGTGTTCAGCTGCCTCTGCTAATTGCCATTCAAGAAGGAGCACTGTTAGAGGCATTTTGGTCACTATAAAGTTGAAGTTTTTTTCAGTGTTCACATGAACCAGAATGGCACCAATGTTTTTCTTCCAACCTTATGCTTGTTTTTCACCCATGCTTACCATAATGTTGTATTTTTTGGTCAAAACAGAGAAAATTATTTTTGAATGGTATTATAAATATACATTATACATTCAATTATAAATAATAATGGACTCAATTATAAACATAATTGGATCCCCCACTTGTCACTCGGTGGTGTCATATTATCAGTAATGTTCAGTAAATGCCCATGTTCCTGAGTAAATAAGTTAATAATTCTTAATCAAAGACTTGAGAGAAATGAGCTTTATACTAAGAGAAGTTTCAGCCAGCCATGGTGATAACTTTATGCTCAAGGAAAGTAGTTGGGACCATCAGAAACCATTTAAATTAATTGATTCAACTGAATCCAGAATGCATAAAAAAGGCAAGGGCAGTTGGTGTGTCAAGGAGACAAGATCATCTCTTCTAGACTTTCCAAGGAGCTGGAACTCTGAAAGGAAAGTCCAAATTGGGGACTGCTCCTTAAGCATCTACATCTCTCATTCTTTCCCTATTACTAAGACAAGACCTTTTTTTCTAGCTCAGTTTATTGGGTGGGGGGGGGGCAGAGAGGCTACCATTGTAGATCTAGTGTTGTGTGGATGTTCTTTCAGTCTCTAATGAGAATATTCTTCAGCAGCTTAAGAAAAGAGCATAGATTTATTTGTGCCAGTAGGCAGTTTTATGTAAGAAAGCTAGCCCCACTGGTCCTGTCCGCATAAACATGGATGTTTGGTTCCCCAGGGACAACAGGCAGCAGGACATCTTGTGCTGCCACTAGTTGTCCCTGAGGAATGCCTGTGCTACATGCCCTCTGGCATGCAGCAGGTTACCCTGGATGGGGTAGAGGAGGCTGGGACAAGGACTGGTCCCAGCAGCCTTACCTGGGCTCCTGAGAGCCTCCTGGGGCTGCAGCAGTGGTGATCCTGCTGCTTGTAGCCTGGCCAGAAGCTGAAGTCCATCTCTGGCCAGCCCAGCTCTGGTTTTGAGTGGCGCACACTGCCCCTCAATGTGCCATGCTGCCTTTTTTTCTGTGCAGGTTTTTTTGACCCCTGGATAACCAGGGGTCAAAAAAAAAAAAATCCCTGCGCTGCTCCCTTGCTGCATGGAAAACGGCTGACTGTGCAGTATGTGGTACCGCAGAGATGTCTGTGGTGCCACGTACTGCAAGGCTGCACTTGTCTGGATGCAGCCACTCAGTCCTCCTGTGACCATGAGGACAAAGGCTCTGGACTTCTTGTTGGGACAGAAGAGTTTTAGTAAAGATTTGGCTCCTGGGTGCTCTAGCAGGGGGATTTATTATCCTATTCTTGAGTCCTATGGTGATACAGTGTGTGAAGAAGACAATGGAGTAGGTTTCTCTCTATAAGACTTTTCTGAAGACATCATGTTAGTTGCCTTCTGACATTAGGGGAAAAAATGGCATTTTTCCTTTCCACATTGGTCCTATAGTATAAGTTTGGGGTGATTATTTTGTCTTTCATTCAGAAGTTCAGGGACCTGATCAGTAGAGAGGAGCTTTCCAGGAATTTTTCAATGTTTGACAGGAAGGGTCAGGATTAATTACCTAATAGGGAAAAGAGCAAAGCAGAGGGAAACCTTCTAACCCCCCAGAATAGCCAATAGTCAGGCAGTTAGAAAACTTACCTTGGATACAATCTGGAAAATTGAAAAAGGTACATAGGGAAATGAACCTTTGTCTCCTAGGTGAGTCTGCTAACAACTGGAATATTGCCTATTTTGGAAATTGTAAGTGTATTTCTTCTCCCAGCTCCTTATTTTCTAAAGACCTTGTTTCTTTCCCAGTGTGCATTCAATATTTATTGAAATTTCAAAAGTGTTTGTAGCACAGGACAGTCATTTTCCACTCAGCTCTTATGGATGAATACAGTTTAATTGCAAGTTGTCAGGTACTGACTGTAGGTAAATTTTCAGTAGACGCATCAGTATTAGAAGTGTATTTTTTAAGAATTTGGGAAATAGGATGGAACTCCTAGCATTTGGTATAGGAAAGAGAAAACTTTCACTCGCACACCGCTCTTAACCTACATTTTGAGTGAGTGTGATACAGTCTTAGCAGTGGTACAGAGGGCCAAGTTAACAGGGTAGGTAGCTAGTGACAGGTTTTCAGCAAATAAAACATGCCATAGATAGTGACCTGCATTGGTGAGCATTGCTAGAGGGCTGTCATAAGTGTTACAGTCTTGTGTGTCCTCTATGGTGTCAAAAATAAATGCACCTATCATCAAAAGAAAAGGTACAGCACAGGAAGTTTCTGGACCTGCACTCCCTTCTTGTTTTTGGTCAGCCAAAACAAAGAGTTCCATCCTATTTCCCATCAATGTCAGAGTATCAGTTTTCTGTCCCAGTGAGTTGTACTGCCATTTGACTCTGCTTGTTGATCATCAAGAAATTGGTTAAAATAGCATTTCCCAACCGTTTGCAGTTCACACCCCAGTGCATTAAGTTGGCCATTCTGGTGCCACCCTACTTCATCAACTTCCCCCCCACTGCTCATTCTTCCTGCTGTCAATTGCCCCTGCTACCAATAACCATGTCACCCTTAGAAACATGTTGTGCACCCCGCAAAGTGATATACCCCAGAGTTTGGGAAACAGTAGCTTGAAAGACTGGACAGAAGATGAAATTTGTGGTGGATTTTGTTTTGTAACAGCTTCCCTGTATTCCCTGTATTGTTTATATGTCTGGACTCCAGATGTCTGGACATGTACATTCTTAAACCAATTGTAATTTTCAATATGTAGTGCTTATAGAAAGCAATGCCATAAGTAAATATTTATACCTATTTCCATGAACAGGTCCAGGAGAGGGGCAAGGTGCTTGCAGCCACACACCCTTGTGGCAAATATGCAGCGAGATCTCTGAACTCATCAATTCAGCATCGCAAGCTCCTGCTGGAGCCACTGCTTTCTTGAAGCTCCAGAGTGCACGGGTGAGCAACATTGCCATTTGCCCCACCCCCCAGTCCTGTGCTGCCCCCCGCCCCCATCTTCCCCTTGCTATCATCCTATCATCAGATAGGAGAAGTGGGGACAAGCAGGAGCAGAAATGTTCAACCCCTGCGTTCCGGTGCTGGAGGAAAAAGGTGGCTCTGGCAGGAGCCTATGCCAACAGGTTGGTGAGCTGAGAGCTTACTCAACATGCATTGCACAGCTGAAGGGGGGTGCAACTTCACCCTTCTCCCCCACCCTCAAGACATTAAAAACAATGCAAAGCGATTTTTAAACTGCATAGTTCACTTGAGCTCTGTAGAGCTACACCAATTTCTGGCAGTTGAAGAGTTATCTCATAACATGATGATAGGTCACAGATTTTCTCCAGCATATAATTTTGCATACCAGAACTCCGTGGAAAACTTTAAAAATTAACGGATTATATCATTTTTACATAATTTAACAAATGATAATAGGAAAACATACTAGCAAAGTTGTATTTGCAAGAGACTACAGAAGTGTCTAAGGTATTTTTTTTACATTCAACGTCAAGATCTGTTTAAGATTTTTTTTCTCTAGTTTTCCATCTGACAACTTGTCCCTATGTTTGTTGTTTTCACAACATTTTTTTCCAATAGCCAGAAAGCCCTTTGAATAGACCTTGTGGCAGTGAATACTTTGTCATCTTGACATACCTGCAGCAGTCTGGTTTACCCTCAGGATCATCACTTTCTGGATGTGAGCTCAGGCTTGCAAGTTATCAGCAAAACGCTGCTTATAATATCACTGAGCTTCTGCCAGTTTATCTAGATTACTGTCAATATTTGTGTCGGTGTCCATTTCAGGATTGATTATCCTGAAGTAATAGAAATAGTTTCCATCAGTTCATGTGTGTTGATGTTTTGTTGCCATGCAAAAATATGGTATTCAACATAGCACTAAAATTGAATTGTATAGTACAGTCACCTAAAGAAAAGTTTAATAGGAAAGGGAGAGAAAGACAACTTTGTTTTTTCCAAGGTAAATGTAGGTAATTTCCATAGGAGCCCTCACATATTCAAAGTTAGGTTTATCCATAAGTGTTGACAAAACTTGGATCATCTATTGTTGTGTTTACTGTGGAAAAATAGAGCACTTTTTGTATCAAACTTAATTGAATAAGCTATCTCTTATTGTAGGTGTTCTAATAGCATCTTAACAATGGTTATTTTTCTTTTTTTGCACATTTAGTCATTAAACAACATTAAGGGCATTGTATCTCTCTCTGTTATCTCTACCCTTATATATAGATATAGATAT